TTATGTAATTTGTGTTTGAGATCCCAGAAATGTATTATAAATAAACTTTGTTATATTTATTTCACTTTTACTTTAAACAATATAACTACATGAATCTATAAATGAGTATTTTTTACTCTTCAACAGTGAAGTGGTGTTAAGATCATTTTTAGTGTGAGGGCTCCTCCTCTGGTGGCTTCATGTTACTGCTGTTCAGGCTCTGAGGGGTTTTTGTTCAGCTCTACTGATGGATTGTGTCACTGTGGCTCTCTGGCACAGTAATACACTGCAGTGTCTTCAGTCTTCAGACTGTTCATCTGAAGATACAGCTGCTGTCTGCTGTTGTCTCTGGAGATGGTGAACCGGCTTCTGACTGAATTAGAGTAGTATTGGCCACCGCTATTGATATGAGCGATCCACTCCAGTCCTTTTCCAGGAGCCTGTCTGACCCAGCTCATAGCGAAGCTACTGAATGTGAATCCAGAGGCTGAACAGGTCAGTCTGTGGGATTCTCCAGGCCTTTTAACCACTGCTTCAGATTGTGTCAGAGTCTGACCATCAACACCTGAAGAGACAGAAAAGAAAACCATCAGATGTGACACTTTCAGAAGACTTTTTAGAGTAAAGATGAGTGATGATCATCACCTGCCCAGCAGACAGTAAAAAGCAGCAGTCCTGTCCTATAGTCCATCATGTTCAACTGTGTGTCCACTGTTCTCTGTCGTCCTCTCTGCTCTCACATAAGTAGAGGAGGAACACATCAGAGATTTACATTGACTCCTCCTCAGAGAGAAATAACATTTGACTTCTGTCTTGGATACTTTAAGTTGAAAGGTCATCAGTTGTATCATGCCAGTAGAGTGAAAGCAGAGATTAACTTGATAATAGGAAAAGTTTTTTGTTTTGTTTGTAGGTAATCAATGATGCAGGAGTTGGAACAGCAGCCAAATATATTTGATTTAAGTCATTGAGATTTCACTTTTTCTAAATCTGGGTACACCATGAATACCTGTTGTGTTTTATTAAAAGTCAAACAGATGAACTCTGTTACCTTGGATCAAACAAAAGCTGCAGTGAAACTTAAACATTTGTCATTCTCTCTGCAGTCTGTTCCCCAAAGGTGTAAGACAATGAGGTTGACTTGTCCTCTCATGGATGATCTTTTCATCTCATACTACCAAAAGGATTAGAAATCTTTTTTTGCATCAGTTCCTCATTTTATTGCCATGTACACTTTATCTATAGACTGTTTGTGTCATGAACATTTGATATGATCATTATTGGTGTGAGGGCTCCTCCTCTGGTGGCTTCATGTTACTGGTGTTCAGGCTCTGAGGGGTTTTTGTTCAGCTCTACTGATGGGTTGTGTCACTGTGGCTCTCTGGCACAGTAATACACTGCAGAGTCTGCAGGCTGCATATTCAGTCCGTTTAGAGTCACTCTGTTGCTGGAAGAGTCTAAGTTGATACTGAACTGGTTCTTCAGTGAATCTTTGGTATATGTGCTATATCCCCCACCACCTAATATAATCCCCTCCAGTCCTTTCCCTGCAGGCTGTCTGATCCAGGCTGTAGCATAGCTGTTAACAGAATAAGAGACCTGACAGGTGATGGTCAGACTCTGACCTGGCTGCACAGTCACAGAGGCTGGCTGTGTCAACTGTTCACACTTCACACCTGTTAAAAAGAGAACATGTTTAGTAAGAAATGATCAAGTTAAACTGCAGAAGAAGAACTGTTGACTTTGACAGATGCAGACAGACTCACATCCAGCTGCCAGCAGCAGCAGCAGAGCTACAGAAAACATGGTTGATGTTGAAAGTGACGTGCTGTGAACTCCACTGACGGCCTGATGGGAAGTTTTTATAGCTGAGTAACAAGGAAGCTCACTGAGTTTGCATACAATCAAACATATGAAGCATCAATGATGGTCTGACTGGAGCCAATAGGAGAGTCTGTTCACTGTTTTTATATCTGCAGAGTGAAAAGATGACTGGAAATCATCTCTGCTTTACATTTGCATTGACTCCTGCTATTTCAGGGAAAATGAGTCTGTATTTTTGGTTGATGGATGTGTGGTCAAGTCATATTTCAGCATTTATTTTCTGTGTTGTAACTGCAGCATGGTCTGGCAATATTCTGTAGAAAAACCTCATGTTGAATATGATCATTTCCTCATCCTTCTTTGTCCTGACATTCAGAAAATCTCAATTCAAAATTCAGAGGTGTGAGAATTCAGACCTCAATACTAAATCATTTCTGAGTACATTTTGTTTTCTGTGTTAAATGTGTCCAAAATTGACGCATGTGGAAAAAAACCAAGATCGTAGTTGTGTCAATTACTTTTGCACAATGACTCTGAAACTTTCGTCTGTTATTGTTTCTCTCGGAACAGGTTCAATTTTCTGAGTTTTTTCACATCCATCCCTGTGTGTGTGTGTGTGTGTGTGTGTGTGTGTGTGTGTGTGTGTGTGTGTGTGTGTGTGTGTGTGTGTGTGTGTGTGTGTGTGTGTAGTGACCCTCCTTTAAACATGCTGACAGCCGATGCTCAGGAATCATTGCGTCTGCTGTTCCAGTAAACTGAAATACACCTGTAAGCTAACTGGATAATTCTGCAGCTTCTTTATCAAAATTTGTGATATTCTGTTAGTCCAGCCATTTTGTTTTCTTTTGTTCTGTGTTCACTTCCTGTTTTATGTTGTTATCTGCTGCTTGTGAATAATATGTAGCCCATCTTCCTGCAATTGTTTGGTTTCCCTCCTTTTGTCCCAACACACCTGTGTCTCACCTGCAATAAGTCTGCCCTGTATATTCACCCCTGTGTTTCTACCAGCCCTCTGACAGATTGTCATCGTCTCCTGAGTGTGTTCATGCTTTCCAGCCTTATTTTCCCTGTTTGCTTTTCCCGGTTTTGAACTTTCTTTGGATTTTGTGGATTTGCCCTCGTTGGATTTTTCTGCCCTCGCTGACTGCCTCTCTGTGTTTGACCTACAAACATTTGTTGGGCCACGCAGGTTTAGAACAGTCAAGCAATGGACTTGGGCCTGCACCTCTGTAAAAGCCTCATTTGAGTTATTCACTGAGATCACAAAGAGGCCTAAAAGGACTCTTAATCCCAGAATCCCCTGCGGTACTTCACACCTACGTGTGAAGTAAAGGGGGGACCGGAACCTCTCTCTCCTCATTGGAGGGGACCTGAGGTAGACCCCCATGGAGCAGGCCAGGCTACAAAACTCCAAGACTTCCATTGCTCGCTCTCTTTCACGCGCTGACCTTCGGTGCTCGGAGACCCAAGAAGATCTCCTGTTTCCTGCAACAATCTTCCTTTGTTTTAAGTTTTGGCGCGCAGGTAATCCGCGGCCGGCAGTGTTCTAAATTCCGAGCTCGGATTGTCCAGTGAACGCATCTCAGTTTCTCGGAGAGCGTCAGACTATAACAGATTATCAGAAAGATAACGGTCTTATTCCGTCCTGCAACGAAAGGACATCAAAGGACATCTTTCCACTCGACGGAGAACCAACGAAGCCGCTCTCGCCGTAAGGGACCCTCGCCGCCATCAGACGCCTCTGCACCAGGACGGACAGAAGATCTGCTCCATCGCCGGACTCTTTTCCTTTCACCAATCGCGGACAAAGCGATTCATAAGTGAGGCTTAATTAGGTCTGGGCAGAATTAGCTTTAGAGAGTGTTTTTAACAATTGTTGATCAAAGCAGAAACTGTAATTTTTATCTTTGTTGGACCTGCGTCCTGAGTTTTAACTGTTTAAAACTCTTGTTGTTTCGGACCGCTGCGTCCTATATGTGTTTAGCATTTCTCTTTTATTCTCTTTTATTTCCCCTTCTACGCACACACATACACACATATTCCTGTGTAAACGTACATCTGGAGACCAACTCCACCACTGCGCCATTACGCACAGAGATCTATACACTCGCGGCTATCCAGACGCCTCAGAGACACAGATTGTGTAGGGCCGAACTCAGTCTCTTTTAGACCTTAAGGCCACATTTAGGCCTTTGTTAGGTGTGTGCCATCGGAAGGGCGACCACGTGGGACGAAGTAATCTTCCCCCCCCCTTCTCTCTCCCTTTCATCCACACGTGCACGCACCCAGGTCTTTGTTAGGTTTGCGCCATCGTGAACGACCACGAGGGTACGAAGCCATCTCCCCCCCTTTCTTCTTCCCTCTCTCTCTCTCTCTCCCTCACACACACACACACACACACAACACACACACACACACACCTACATTCACACCTCATCCACAAGCCTTTGCTTGATAATGTTTGTTGCTTAGATTAGTTTATAATAGTTATTTGTTTAATTAAGTTCATTGATTTTGGATTGATGTTGCTTTGTTTAAATAAATTCTGTTATAATTTTAAGAGAGCAGTTGTTTGTGGTTACTGGTGTATTTACATTGTGATATAAGCTGGGTGCGAAGGCTTTGTGTACGGATTTCACGCCTTCAATTTATTAAATATAGTTATTCATTATTAATAATATTAGTAATTAAATAACTAATTTGAGACTGATTTGAGTGATATTTTGGTTATATTTACCTGATTACAGGTTGGTGCCCCAAAACGAGATTAAACATAGTTTAATGATATTTTATTTATATTATTAATAATTAAGTATAATTATTAAAGAATATAACCAAAGTTGACTTGATACAACCCCAACACATTTGAGTAGAAAACTTTTTCTTACTATCAGTTTTTTGTGTCCTGGACTTTCCTCTGCATCTGAGTGTGTTTAAGAATTGTTAAACAAAATGTCCATTATCATGAACTCACAGACAACTTGGAGAAGAAACTGTCAAAGTTAGAAATGATTTGACACCCTGCGGCCAATCACAGTCCAGTAACAACCCCGGACCATGATGTAGGAGTCTGATATTGAGTCAATCACGTCTTAATTTTTGTATTTCTGACACGTATTCATAATTAGTTTTTATAATGTGATGCTGAGACAGCTGAATGTTCCCAGTGATGGTTGTAAACAGAGGAAGTAGTTTTTGTATGACTCTCCTGTTATTGTCTCTCACTGTGGGTCTCTCACACAGTAATACACAGCAGTGTCTTCAGGCTGCAGACTCTGTCCTGTTAGAGTCATTGTTCTAGCAGACATGTCTGTCCTGTAGCTGAACTTGTTCTTCAGAGCATTATTTTGGTAAAAGCTCCCAGAGCTTCCTCCCCGCTGATGAGAGATCCAGTCCATCGGTTTCCCTTCACGCTGTCTGATCCAACCTGTTGCATGGCTGCTATCAGTCAGAGAGTAACCAGAGACCTGACAGGTGAGGGTCAGAGTCTGTCCAGGCTGCACAACCATTGAGCCTGGTGTGATGAGATCAATACAGTGCACACCTGTGGAAACACAAATCATCATTATCTCCATCACTCATCTGATTATTCTCTGTGTCTGATGTGATCATTAGTTAAAAAGCTTCCTACATGATTCAGCAGCCAGCAGTAGAATCAGATCTACAGAGAACATTTTTTCACTTGAAGTGATCTGATGGAGCTTCTGTTCTTCTCTGACTCACAGCCTGATGTCGAGTCTTTATATCAGACTGTGAGGAAGTTCAATTTGCATATAAGGACACAGGGAGGCTATGAAAGAAGGTTCACCTATGTAGTGCTCAGGAGGTGAACTGACACCTCTCGAGCTACCAGACCAATTTCAGACATGACCTTAACCTGTGACCCTCAGAATCCCAGTCCAAGTCCCCACAATCTCAGCTACTGCCTCCCCCCCCCTTACTTTATTACTAAAATTGATCAAATTATGTAATTTGATGAGATCCCAGAAATGTATTATAAATAAACTTTGTTATATTTCTTTCACTTTTACTTTAAACAATATAACTATATGAATCTATAAATGAGTATTTTTTACTCTTCAACAGTGAACTGGTGTTAAGATCATTATTGGTGTGAGGGCTCCTCCTCTGGTGGCTTCATGTTACTGGTGTTCAGGCTCTGAGGGGTTTTTGTTCAGCTCTACTGATGGATTGTGTCACTGTGGCTCTCTGGCACAGTAATACACTGCAGTGTCTTCAGTCTTCAGACTGTTCATCTGCAGATACAGCTGCTGTCTGCTGTTGTCTCTGGAGATGGTGAACCGGCTTTTGACTGAATTAGAGTAGTAGATGCTACCACCATTACTAATAGTAGCGATCCACTCCAGTCCTTTTCCAGGAGCCTGTCTGACCCAAGCCATCCAGGAGCTGCTGAATGTGAATCCAGAGGCTGAACAGGTCAGTCTGTGGGATTCTCCAGGACTTTTAACCACTGCTTCAGATTCTGTCAGAGTCTGACCATCAACACCTGAAGAGACAGAAAAGAAAACCATCAGATGTGACACTTTCAGAAGACTTTTTAGAGTAAAGATGAGTGATGATCATCACCTGCCCAGCAGACAGTAAAAAGCAGCAGTCCTGTCCTATAGTCCATCATGTTCAACTGTGTGTCCACTGTTCTCTGTCGTCCTCTCTGCTCTCACATAAGTAGAGGAGGAACACATCAGAGTTTTGCATCGCAACTGAAGAGTGTTTCTCTCTCTCTCTTTACTGTTACAGTCAAATGAAGTTGAAATCATTTGTTGTGTGAGAGCTCCTCCTCTGGTGGCTTTAAGGAACAAGTGTTCACAAGGGGAGAAACTGTGTTTTTCATTAATGACACTTGGTGCTCAGAAACAGTAAAGCTTGATGGATATTATTAACCACATGTCAGAAGTCTTTCATGGTAAGATTTCAACACATGAAGTTATAAAACTCTTCTTGTTGCTGCAGTTTACATTCCCCAAGCATGCACATCTAAATAGTTCACTACAGAATGATTACTTCTAGGATGTATCATAGAGATGCTGTAGATTTAACTGCTGCTCTATATATTTTATATTAATTAGTTCTTGTCTACATTCACAATTTGAATGTGTCTTCCATGTCACTGAAGTAAGAGGGGACTAAAACTTAAACTTCCATTTATTGAGAAACTGTGTTTTTAAAAAAACAATTGAAGTTGATGACTTGATAAGTATTTGTTCAACACTCAGAATTTTCATAGTTGACTGTGAATCACAAGAAATATTGTGATGGTGGTAAAAAGTATTTTTTTTTCAGCTCTACTGATGGGTTGTGTCACTGTGGCTCTCTGGCACAGTAATACACTGCAGTGTCTGCAGGCTGCATATTCTGTCCGTTTAGAGTCGCTATTTTTCTGGAAGAGTCAAAGTTGATACTGAATTGGTTCTTCAGTGAATCTTTGTAGAATCTGGTGGATCCAGCTTCGCTACTCCAGTCCTTTCCCTGCAGGCTGTCTGATCCAGGCTGTGTAGTAGCTGCTAACAGAATAAGAGACCTGACAGGTGATGGTCAGACTCTGACCTGGCTGCACAGTCACAGAGGCTGGCTGTGTCAACTGTTCACACTTCACACCTGTGGAGGAAAACATGTTGAATATTGAATCAGTATGTTTAGAGTCATTGTGCTGTGATCATACTGTCAGTGCGTCTGCCTCAGTGAGACTCACAGGATCCAGCAGCCAGCAGCAGCAGCAGAGCTACAGGCAACATGGTTGGTGTTGAACCTGACATGATGGAGCTTCTCTTCTTCTCTGACTCACAGCCTGATGATGAATCTTTATATCAGACTGTGAGGAAGTTCAATTTGCATATCAAACGACACTGACAGACTATAAATGAATCACATTTTACATGAATACACTTTAATCTTGTGAAAATCGTAAAAAAATCTTGATCAGATTGTATTGTGAAGACTACTGGCCTATTTCACTAATATATACGTAGAAATGTTTTTACTCTGCGCAAAATATAAGTGCATACACAAAATCATCTACAGATTCACAACACGTACGCGTACCAACGGATTTTGTATGAAAGCAGTTCACTTTTTTTCCTTCAAGCTCTCACATCACATTCTACAAGCTCTCACATCACATTCTACAAGTTCTCACATCACATTCTACAAGCTCTCACATCACATTCTACAAGTTCTCATCACATTCTACAAGCTCTCACATCACATTCTACAAGCTCTCACATCACATTCTACAAGCTCTCACATCACATTCTACAAGTTCTCATCACATTCTACAAGCTCTCACATCACATTCTACAAGTTCTCATCACATTCTACAAGCTCTCACATCACATTCTACAAGTTCTCATCACATTCTACAAGTTCTCACATCACATTCTACAAGCTCTCACATCACATTCTACAAGTTCTCACATCACATTCTACAAGTTCTCATCACATTCTACAATCTCTCACATCACATTCTACAATCTCTCGCATCACATTCTACAAGTTCTCACATTCTACAAGCTCACATCACATTCTACAAGCTCTCACATCACATTCTACAAGCTCTCACATCACATTCTACAAGTTCTCACATCACATTCTACAAGTTCTCACATCACATTCTACAAGTTCTCATCACATTCTACAAGTTCTCATCACATTCTACAAGTTCTCATCACATTCTACAAGTTCTCATCACATTCTACAAGTTCTCATCACATTCTACAAGTTCTCACATCACATTCTACAAGTTCTCATCACATTCTACAAGTTCTCATCACATTCTACAAGTTCTCACATCACATTCTACAAGTTCTCACATCACATTCTACAAGCTCTCACATCACATTCTACAAGTTCTCACATCACATTCTACAAGTTCTCACATCACATTCTACAAGCTCTCACATCACATTCTACAAGCTCTCACATCACATTCTACAAGTTCTCACATCACATTCTACAAGCTCTCACATCACATTCTACAAGCTCTCTCATCACATTCTACAAGCTCTCACATCACATTCTACAATCTCTCACATCACATTCTACAAGCTCTCACATTTTGCAACATATCTACCTTCATAATTTTGTTCTCACCACTCTGCGTATGTTAGTGATTCAGAATCGTTCATTCTGATTCAGGAATCAGCATACTATCACGCCCCCATCTCTCCATATAATGTCATCCGATTGGTGTATCAGGAGGAGAACGGTGAGGTGCAGATACGCACATGTTGGTAGAGATGAACCCAAAGGGCAAAAAAGAGCGATGTGTCTGGGGCAACCTCCGGTCTCGAAAAATGAAGCCAATGCGGAAGTAAAAAAAAACTGCAGTTCGTCAAATGTCCGCTTGAGGCTGGCTCCAGAAGCACCGGAAGCCCACAGTCAAAAAAGCCCGTTTTTACCACAGGAATCAACATGTTTACAGCCTGGTTCAAAAAAACGAGATATATCTGATAAGTTGACGACCCCATTTCCTCACACTGTGGGATTTGTTTTATAACTCATCGGATTTGATTTTATTAAGGAAAACGACTATGCCCATATAAGGGTTGTGGCAGATTTGATTGACAGCTCTGCGCGGTCAGCAGGTCAGGAGGCTAACAGCTTGATCCGTCTGATTTCTCCTCTTTCTTACTTCGTTTGGAGAGTTTGTTTAACAGATATCTGACAACATACATGGCTTGCTGTGCGGTTAACAGACCATCCAACAAGTTGATGCTTCAGTTATTTTCAGTAAGTGATATAGTAGTGTTATATTTACTGCTTACTCATGTGTCGGTATTTATAGTTACGGACCTAGCTTGTTAGCGTTAGCGTGTAAACCAGTCGGCTAACTGTACTCAGTGTAGTCCATTATTTACAGTCAATGGTTTAGCCGATCAAGACTCCCATTCATGCCAAAGAATCTAATGGCAACATAGCCAGCCAGCACTATTAAACTGGGGGAAAATGTAATTCTGAAGTGTTAGAAATTTTAGTTGTTAAGATGTTGTAAGACAGAGTTTGTGTGATAAAACTAAAGGTTCAGCTCGGTGGTTAACTGCAGACTGTAAATATGGTTATCTTACGTTATGATGAATGTTATACATTGATGTGGAATATCATTGTGCAAGTGAGTGAGAGAGCTGAAAATAGCATGATTACAATAAGGTTTATCTTCTTAACTTTAAATAGATGTTGATTACCTGAATACTGTACCTTTGTTGTCTGGGTAGTACACTGTTGAATTTATAAATGTGCTCTTACACACAGATGAATACAGAAAAATAGATGAGAACAAACAAATGATTTAATGAATAACTGATATTTTCTCTTTTTCTTTGCCATCCTGAAGACCCCTCACTAAAAGTCCATGTTCTCCTGGATCCATGTCACATGTTCGAGCTTCTTCAGAATGACTTTTCAACAGTCGAAGTTCTGGTGAGAGAAGATGGCCAGCAGATAAGACAGCAGTACATCAAGGCTTCAGGAGAAGGAGGGTTAAGACAGCAGTACATCAAGGCTTCAGGAGAAGGAGGGTTAAGACAGCAGTATATCAAGGCTTCAGGAGAAGGAGGGTTAAGACAGCAGCACATCAAGGCTTCAGGAGAAGGAGGGTTAAGACAGCAGCACATCAAGGCTTCAGGAGAAGGAGGGTTAAGACAGCAGTATATCAAGGCTTCAGGAGAAGGAGGGTTTGCACCTTGGAAGACTGTATTCATGCTGTTCAAATAGAAATAGATCTCCTCCAAACAACTTGCAATCAAACCATTTTCTTCCCATTTTAAAACCCTTTGTCCAGTTTAGATGGGAGAAGTTGATATTATGTGATATTGATCTGGGAAGACTAAATTTCTAAATCATTTTTAACTGTGTTTTTATTCACAAGTTATTGATCTTATTTACTCTCCATGTATCTTGATTTAAGAGTGGGGCTGTGTTTAAGGGCATATTTTTTGCAATAACTCTGTTCCATCCCATTTTCAGAAATGAACTACATTAGTATTTGGTAAAAAAATAAAAAAAAATGTCAAGAGAAGACAAAGTTGTGTAAAAGTAGATTCCTTCCCTTAGCTATTGAGTTGAGCAATAATGCACAATTTAGTCTTGTCATTTCAAATCTGAAATGTATACTGATAAGTAGAGACAAAGGAGTCCATTTATATAGAAATATTTATTTAATCTGAAAAACTACATTCTAAAAAAGTCTGTTTTTACAGCAGAGATTTACCTGGTACAAAAAAACAAATAGGTGTGATTAGCTCATGTCTCTATCGACACACACTGTACAGGGGTGAATGTTTTGATGACTCATCAGTTTTGATTTGATGAAGGATAAGAGTTATTCACAATAAGGCATGTAGCTGACATGATCGACAGGCGGGCGCGGTGTACCGGTTTGTCAGGAGTCTTAAAACCCGCCTCAGCTCCAGCTCTCAGCCTGTCGCTAGGTTGAATGAAGGTAAGGGTGAGACAGCATTTCAAGCATGGAGACCGCCATCGATGCAGGAACATGTGGGTGACATCACTCAGGCCATCCGGGGGAGACCTCCCTCGCAGCGAGTTGTTGAAGAGAAGCAACTGAAGTCCACCCCAGAAGAACCAACAAATACAGATGTTGTTGAGGCTCAGGTTTCTTCCTCTGTCTCTGCAGCTCTCTGGGCACCTCGACGGACCAGCCACCAATAATCCACACTGTGTCTATAGGAGAAATACAAAGGTGTTCAATTAATGCCTCAGACAAGACAAAATGGACAGTTAAGTACATGTGACAGCTCAGGGTGTTTTTTTGTTATTAGTCACATCTGCAGGAATAATATTGAACAAGGTAGCTGCAACTCATAATAATAGATGCCAGTCTTAGACACTATTTTTTCTAATACTTAAAGTTTTTGGTGTGAAGCTGACACTGTCCACAGACTCCATGACTTCACAGGGTTCTATAGAAAACAAATGTCTTATAATAAATACTAAATAATGATTTTTCAATTGTCATGTTCACCATCATAGCTGTTGACATCAGTAAATATAAAACACAGACGTTCCTCTTTTTGTCAGACAGTAACATGAACTGTATGCTTTGTAATATTGATTTCTTCTGGATGTCTTACATATTTATTTAGAGTCTATGGTCTAACAGTAGTTTTATCAACAACAACGAAGAGAAAAAAGACACCAAAGCTCTGTCTTTTATCGTTTAAAACAGACTTCTTATCCTTCAACATGTTCTTACACCCAAGTAATGATTTGTAACACAATGTGTGAATTTAAGTGTAAAGATTAGCCTCAAAATGTTTCTTACATTTTATGATAAAACTGCTAATGTATTGCTCTGCTAACCTGGACAAAGTCTAGTAACTGCTCTGACAAATAACTAATAACCATAGTTGTATATTTAACAAGGTGTAGTTTTAAGATTTTAATTAAATATTTGGGTTGAATATAATTCGTTTTAACTGTGTTGTAGAAAAGTAAAATGTTAACTTATTGTTTATAGAGACAACTCAGGACGAGCAGGAAAGCACTAGGGGATGATAGCAGCCTAGCCGTTGGCTTTGATGTGAAATCATGAACCCCCTTTCCCCTACATATCACCTCACACCCATCATCGCCCCACCACTCCTCCTGGTCACACACACACATCTCTCATCCATCTGTATTATTGTATTATAGTATGTTCATATGCTGTAAACTAGTATAGCATGCTCACTGCACCTTAATCTGTATATTATAATCCTAAGAACACACTTATTTTGTAACATTACTTATTTATAGCATTTATTTATATTTATTGCATCCCATTAATCCAGCCATCCAGATATACCTCATAATTCACTTTTTTTGTCTACATCTGTAAATTTTGCAATTACTGTACATAGCACAGAATTACTGTACATAGCACAGACTCTTGCACTCAATTACTGTACATAGCACAGACTTTTGCACTTTCTGCTTATTTGCACTTCTGGTGAGATGCCAAGCCTCATTTCGTTACTCTATACTTGTATATGTGTAACGACAATAAAGTTGAATCTCATCTCATCTCATCTCAAATGGAACGGAGTTAAGTCCCGCCGGGTCCCGCCTTGATGCTGTTGCTAGGTTGATCCGAAGTTAGGTTGAGACCCCACTAAGACAGCATATCCAATATGGATGCGCCCGTCGATTAGACTTATTTGATGCCTCCGTAACAGACGGGTGACATCACTCAGGGTTCGTCCAGTAATATTTACAGTCTATGGTCTGGGGCCATAGATGCCGTTACAGTGAATTACAAAGTTACAGCTATTATGTACATTCATTGGCAGTCGGAACCAGGCTTTAGCTTTAGCTTATCTGAGAAAGCTAGGCCTTCATCATTAATGCCTACGCATTGTCTCAGGATTTCTTACTTTGTTTGCAGAGTAAGAATAAATTCAAGAACTAATACATTGATGAGTCTCAGATTTGTGCGGCAAACGTTGAAACAAACAGTTCAAGAACAGATTTGTTGGTATGCGCTATTTGTGAATGAGGCCAATTATCCTGATACTTATTGTGAGTGGAGTGTATGGTTATATTCCATCATTATGTGGCACAGGCAGTTTCACATTTAGCGTAAGTTTCCAGTAATTGTATTTTCACTACATTCAGAAGAACATCAGAGTTGCACAAAAACTTGTATTGATTTTATTTCAATCTGAAGTTCATTCTACAGTTATGGAATACAGAGTGCTGTTTTTGCTCCCTCCTGTGTCGCTGTGTGTCGAGCAGAACTTATTCATTCACTTCTTTTTGTCTTTTGTTTCTGTGGTATTTGTTCTGTTCTCATATAAATCGTCTTTGGATCCCTTAAAACGGGCTATAGCAATCCAAGAATTTATCATTATTTCATTGTATCAACAGCTGAAGATACAAACACGTGATGACAACATTATTTACAATATTTTTTTTTAAAAAGCATGTCATTATGTTGAATGTAGGAAGTCACAAACCACTGAAACAGATGCTGCTTTTAAGAGTGCGTTCCATTCTCCTCCTTTGTGCCATCCGACCCCAGTCTTCTGCTGCCCCCTGTAGGTCTTTGAAAGGCAATTTGTAAGGGGGGTTATTGTACAGCCTCTCTGCTCACTTCAACCAGTGTGTCTCTGGCACAGTAATACACAGCAGAGTCCTGTGGTTGCAAGTTAGACAGTCTCAGATACACCATGCTTGTGCTATCATCTCTGCTGATTTCTACACGGCCTCGCGCACTGCTGGCATAAGTGTTCTTGCTTGGGTTGGAATAGCCGTTTCCGATCCATTCCAGTGCTTTTCCTGCAGGTTGTCTCATCCAGCTCATAACACAGCAGTTGAAAGTGAAGCCTGATCCCCTGCAGGACAGACTGAGTGTCTCCCCGGGCCTTTTCATGACTGAACTGGAAGGCATGGACTCCATACTCTGACTTGTGCAACCTGATCAGATGAAAGCAGAGAAAAAGTGAGATGCTCACATGTGTGGCGTTCTCTGGTATCACTCACCGACCATCAGTGGAAGTTGTCTGATAAAAGATTAAATGAGAAGAAGCAGGAGAACTCACAGGGCAGAGAGAGAGCAGCCAGCAGCAGAGTGAGTGTGTTCATCATCCTGAGGCTGCAGATCTGACCTCTGATGCTCCACAGAAGTACGAGAGCATTTAGCCGCACTGAAGTACTCTGCACACACTGAACATTTGCATCCGGATAACATGGGAGTGACTCCTGAGCTGTCTGAACTCTGTCATAGTTATATTAAGAATATTTGAAAGAAAAAGAAAAAAGATCAATTCTAAATTAGATGGATCAACAACTTCCCAAACTGAAAACAATGTCTAACTTTTACCTTCCAATGTTAAAAAGTAAAAATAAATTAAACAAAACAAACATGGAATCTTCTGGTGTGGACCAAAATCTAATACTCAATACAAACGAAAGTGAATGTTGCTCACCAATATAAACACATTGATTCTAAAATTATCCTTTTCGAGCTGTGCGTGGAATCATTTGGGGTCCAATCACTCATCATCTTGATACCCCCAGAAAAAGATTGTCAGAGTTTGCTTACAATCAAACATTTGAAACATCAGTGATGGTCTATACATACAAACATGTACAAACATGCCTGAGAAATATCACTGATTTATTTTAATTAAAGTGCAAAGTTGGTCTGTAATCATTTAAAGAAACCAAACATCAGTTCATTTGGTTTTTACTGTAAAACATTGAAGCTTGAGGACAACAGCATCATAATAAACAATGAAAACGTAACTTAGAAACAAAAAGGATCTGTTATTATTCTTAGTATTAAAATGAATGATGGATATTGTGAAATATTCTGAGGAAATGGAGCACTGCAATAATGATGGTTTGCATCCATGAAAACCAAAAGAGCAACAGAAAGGATGTTAATCTTCAGAAGTTTTATTTATTCTATTTAATACAATTATTTAAACCAACCTACTGTCTTTCTGATATTAACTGTTTACTGTCAGCAAATCCAACATACCACTGGGTAATATTCTGTTTATTCAAATGTTAAACACTGGTTTGTATAAAAAAAACAGATTAAAAGTTTTCAGTGTTTACAGACTGTTCATCGAAATATTAACAGAGCTGCAGTCGGTGCTCATGATTAACACCAAGTCACACTTCAGTTTCAAAGAATCACTCAATCAAGCAACTTATGTTGAAGAAGGGAAAGTTTTAACTACAGATTTAATTGTATTGAGCAGCAAGAGTGTTTAGCTTTAGTCAATCTGATAGTAATGTTGGTGTACTATCTTTATATCATGTGGAATGTGTCTTCCATGTCACTGAAGTAAGAGGGGGCTAAAACTTAAACTTGCATTTATTGAGAAACTGTGTTTTAAAAAAACAATTGAAGTTGATGACTTGATAAGTATTTGTTCAACACTCAGAATTTTCAAAAATGATTGTGAATAACATGAAATATTGTGATGGTGATAAAAAGAGGAAGTAGTTTTTGTTCAGCTCTACTGATGGGTTGTGTCACTGTGGCTCTCTGGCACAGTAATACACTGCAGTGTCTGCAGGCTGCATATTCAGTCCGTTTAGAGTCGTTGTTTTTCTGGAGGCGTCTAAGTCGATACTGAACTGATTCTTCAGTGAATCTTTGTAGAGTGTGGTCGATCCAAAACTCATTCCAATCCACTCCAGTCCTTTTCAGACTGGCTGTCTGATCCAACCTGTTGCATAGCTGTCATCAGTCAGAGAGTAACCAGAGACCTGACAGGTGAGGGTCAGAGACTGTCCAGGCTGCACAACCATTGAGCCTGGTGTAATGAGATCAATACAGTGCACACCTGTGGAAACACAAATCATCATTATCTCCATCATCCATCTGATTATGAGTTGTTTCTAAACAGGTGAAAATATCCTTACAGGATCCAACGCTCAGCAGCAGAATCAGAGCTGCAGAGAACATGACTGATGATGAAGCTGATCTGATGTGAGAACTTGATGCATTAACACACCCAGTGGACTTTCTTATACGGCAACAAGAGGAGACTAATTTACATACACAGGATGGTAAATCAGCCGACTACGTTCATTCAAATATTTTAAAATCCTGGTAAAATTGAGTATTACTCTCAAACTCTCAATTAATCAGATATAGAGATTGAAACAATATTTAAGCGACACATTTATTAGAAGATCTAATAAAGCCTTAAGACTGTTTCTCTCTCTCTCTTTACTGTTACAGTCAAATGAAGTTGAAATCATTTGTTGTGTGAGAGCTCCTCCTCTGGTGGCTTTAAGGAACAAGTGTTCACAAGGGGAGAAACTGTGTTTTTCATTAATGACACTTGGTGCTCAGAAACAGTAAAGCTTGATGGATATTATTAACCACATGTCAGAAGTCTTTCATGGTAAGATTTCAACACATGAAGTTATAAAACTCTTCTTGTTGCTGCAGTTTACATTCCCCAAGCATGCACATCTAAAAAGTTCACTACAGAATGATTACTTCTAGGATGTATCATAGAGATGCTGTAGATTTAACTGCTGCTCTATATATTTTATATTAATTAGTTCTTGTCTACATTCACAATTTGAATGTTTCTTCCATGTCACTGAAGTAAGAGGGGGCTAAAACTTAAACTTCCATTTATTGAGAAACTGTGTTTTTAAAAAAACAATTGAAGTTGATGACTTGATAAGTATTTGTTAAACACTCAGAATTTTCATATTTGATTGTGAATCACAAGAAATATTGTGATGGTGGTAAAAAGAGGAAGTAGTTTTTGTTCAGCTCTACTGATGGGTTGTGTCACTGTGGGTCTCTGGCACAGTAATACACTGCAGTGTCTGCAGGCTGCATATTCAGTCCGTTTAGAGTCACTCTGTTGTTAGAGGCGTCTAAGTCGATACTGAACTGGTTCTTAAGTGAATCTTTGTAGTATCTGGAGGATCCAGATCCGATACCGATCCACTCCAGTCCTTTCCCTGCAGGCTGTCTGATCCAGGCTGTCCAGTAGCCACTAACAGAATAAGAGACCTGACAGGTGATGGTCAGACTCTGACCTGGCTGCACAGTCACAGAGGCTGGCTGTGTCAACTGTTCACACTTCACACCTGTTAAAAAGAGAACATGTTTAGTTAGAAATGATCAAGTTAAACTGCAGAAGAAGAACTGTTGACTTTGACAGATGCAGACAGACTCACATCCAGCTGCCAGCAGCAGCAGCAGAGCTACAGAAAACATGGTTGATGTTGAAAGTGACGTGCTGTGAACTCCACTGACGGCCTGATGGGAAGTTTTTATAGCTGAGTAACAAGGAAGCTCACTGAGTTTGCATACAATCAAACATATGAAGCATCAATGATGGTCTGACTGGAGCCAATAGGAGAGTCTGTTCACTGTTTTTATATCTGCAGAGTGACTCTGAAACTTTCGTCCGTCATTATTTCTTTCAGATCAGATTTGATTTTCCGTGTTTTTTTCACATCCATCCGTGTGTGTGTGTGTGTGTGTGTGTGTGTTTGTGTGTGTGTGTGTGTGTAGTGACCCTCCTTTAAACATGCTGTCAGCCGATGCTCAGGAATCATTGCGTCTGCTGTTCCAGTAAACTGAAATACACCTGTAAGCTAACTGGATAATTCTGCAGCTTCTTTATCAAAATTTGTGATATTCTGTTAGTCCAACCATTTTGTTTTCTTTTGTTCTGTGTTCACTTCCTGTTTTATGTTGTTATCTGCTGCTTGTGAATAATATGTAGCCCATCTTCCTGCAATTGTTTGGTTTCCCTCCTTTTGTCCCAACACACCTGTGTCTCACCTGCAATAAGTCTGCCCTGTATATTCACCCCTGTGTTTCTACCAGCCCTCTGACAGATTGTCATCGTCTCCTGAGTGTGTTCATGCTTTCCAGCCTTATTTTCCCTGTTTGCTTTTCCCGGTTTTGAACTTTCTTTGGATTTTGTGGATTTGCCCTCGTTGGATTTTTCTGCCCTCGCTGACTGCCTCTCTGTGTTTGACCTACAAACATTTGAGTAGAGAACTTTTTCTTACGATCAGTTTTTTGTGTCCTGGACTTTCCTCTGCATCTGAGTGTGTTTAAGAATTGTTAAACAAAATGTCCATTATCATGAACTCACAGACAACTTGGAGAAGAAACTGTCAAAGTGAGAAATGATTTGACACTCTGTGGCCAATCACAGTCCAGTAATACCTCCGGACCATGATGTAGGAGTCTGATATTGAGTCAATCACATTTTGATTTTTGTATTTCTGACACGTATTCACAAACAATTTTTATAATTTGATGTTGAGACAGCTGAATCTTCCCAGTGATGGTTGTAAACAGAGGAAGTAGTTTTTGTACGACTCTCCTGTTATTGTCGCTCACTGTGGGTCTTCTCACACAGTAATACACAGCAGTGTCTTCAGGCTGCAGACTCTGTCCTGTAAGAGTCATTGTTCCAGCAGACGTGTCTCTGCTGTAGCTGAACTTGTTCTTCAGAGCATTATTTTAGTAAAAGCTTCCTCCCCACCGTTCAAAAATCCAGTCCATCGGTTTCTCTTCACGCTGTCTGATCCAACCTGTTGCATAGCTGTTATCAGTCAGAGAGTAACCAGAGACCTGACAGGTGAGGGTCAGAGTCTGTCCAGGCTGCACAACCATTGAGCCTGGTGTGATGAGATCAATACAGTGCACACCTGTAGAAACACAAATCATCATTATCTCCATCACTCATCTGATTATTCTTTGTGTCTGATGTGATCATTAGTTATAAAGCTTCCTATTTGATCCAGCAGCCAGCAGTAGAATCAGAGCTACAGAGATAATTGTTTCACTTGAAGTGATCTGATGGAGCTTCTGTTCTTCTCTGACTCACAGCCTGATGTCAAGTCTTTATATCAGACTGTGAGGAAGTTCACTTTCCATATAAGGACACAGGGAGGCTATGAAAGAAGGTTCACCTATGTAGTGCTCAGGAAGTGAACTGGCACCTCTCGAGCTACCAGACCAATTTCAGACATGACCTTAACCTGTGACCCTCAGAATCCCAGTCCAAGTCCCCACAATCTCAGCTACTGCCTCCCCCCCCCTTACTTTATTACTATAATTGATCAAATTATGTAATTTGATGAGATCCCAGAAATGTATTACAAATAAACTTTGTTATATTTATTTCACTTTTACTTTAAACAATATAACTACATGAATCTATAAATGAGTATTTTTTACTCTTCAACAGTGAACTGGTGTTATAATCATTATTGGTGTGAGGGCTCCTCCTCTGGTGGCTTCATGTTACTGCTGTTCAGGCTCTGAGGGGTTTTTGTTCAGCTCTCCTGATGGATTGTGTCACTGTGGCTCTCTGGCACAGTAATACACTGCAGTGTCTTCAGTCTTCAGACTGTTCATCTGCAGATACAGCTGCTGTCTGCTGTCGTCTCTGGAGATGGTGAACCGGCTTCTGACTGAATTAGAGTAGTATTGGCTGCTACCACCATTACTAATAGTAGCGATCCACTCCAGTCCTTTTCCAGGAGCCTGTCTGACCCAAGCCATCCAGTAGCTGCTGAATGTGAATCCAGAGGCTGAACAGGTCAGTCTGTGGGATTCTCCAGGCCTTTTAACCACTGCTTCAGATTCTGTCAGAGTCTGACCATCAACACCTGAAGAGACAGAAAAGAAAACCATCAGATGTGACACTTTCAGAAGACTTTTTAGAGTAAAGATGAGTGATGATCATCACCTGCCCAGCAGACAGTAAAAAGCAGCAGTCCTGTCCTATAGTCCATCATGTTCAACTGTGTGTCCACTGTTCTCTGTCGTCCTCTCTGCACTCACATAAGTAGAGGAGGAACACATCAGAGATTTACATTGACTCCTCCTCAGAGAGAAATAACATTTGACTTCTGTCTTGGATACTTTAAATTGAAAGGTCATCAGTTGTATCATGCCAGTAGAGTGAAATCAGAGATTAACTTGATAAAAGGACATTTTATTTTTATATACGTAATCAATGATGCAGGAGTTGGGACAGCAGCCAAATATGTTTGATTTAAGTCATTGAGATTTCACATTTTCTAAATCTGGCTACACCATGAATACCTGTTGTGTTTTATTAAAAGTCAAACAGATGAACTCTGTTACCTTGGATCAAACAAAAGCTGCAGTGAAACTTCAACATTTGTGATTTTCTCTGCAGTCTGTTTCCCAAAGGTGTAAGACAATGAGGTTGACTTGTCCTCTCATGGATGATCTTTTCATCTCATACTACCAAAAGGATTAGGAACCTTTTTTTGCATCAGTTCCTCATTTCATTGCCATGTACACTTTATCTATTGACTGTTTGTGTCACTGAACTTGTGATATGATCATTATTGGTGTGAGGGCTCCTCCTCTGGTGGCTTCATGTTACTGGTGTTCAGGCTCTGAGGGGTTTTTGTTCAGCTCTACTGATGGATTGTGTCACTGTGGCTCTCTGGCACAGTAATACACTGCAGTGTCTGCAGGCTGCATATTCAGTCCGTTTAGAGTCGCTGTTTTTCTGGAAGAGTCTAAGTCGATACTGAACTGGTTCTTCAGTGAATCTTTGGTATGTGTGCTATATCCCACAGCACCTCGTATAATCCACTCCAGTCCTTTCCCTGCAGGCTGTCTGATCCAGGCTGTGTAGTAGCTGCCAACAGAATAAGAGACCTGACAGGTGATGGTCAGACTCTGACCTGGCTGCACAGTCACAGAGGCTGGCTGTGTCAACTGTTCACACTTCACACCTGTGGAGGGAAACATGTTGAATATTGAATCAGTATGTTTAGAGTCATTGTGCTGTGATCATACTGTCAGTGCGTCTGCCTCAGTGAGACTCACAGGATCCAGCAGCCAGCAGCAGCAGCAGAGTTACAGGCAACATGGTTGGTGTTGAACCTGACATGATGGAGCTTCTCTTCTTCTCTGACTCACAGCCTGATGATGAATCTTTATATCAGACTGTGAGGAAGTTCAATTTGCATAGAGACAGACTTGGCTCGACTCCTAGCAAGCAAATGTATTTCTCATCATCTCTTCATATTCTGTTTATGGGATGGAAGGGTGATTTTTTTGATTGTCTAAATTATTTTGCCTGGTTCTGGGATAGTTAGTGTTCACCTTTTATGGTTTTGTTGACATTTTAGATAATAGATGTATCTGTTTATTTATCCTTATTTGACACAGGAATGTTTATTATAAATATCTACCAATCATGATTTGATCGTTTCACCAATAGACAAATTGAACATGTTTACCTGTTGTCATGGTGATGTTAATCTGTGTTTAAATAACGTAGCCAAATAAAAGGGTAGAACAATGAGATAGGCAGTGTTGTTGTGGAATCACCAAATCTGGAGTATGAGTCAAAGAAACAGAGTCACGTCAGAGTCATGACCTCGTTAACTGAGTTACTTTTCTGGATGAATCCTTGATAGATGTCTGCACAATTTGTGTTTCCTTTTTCTGCATCCTTACAGAGACAATATTCACATGCAGGTGAACTCTCGTGCCAGCACATGCTTGAAAGTGAATACATTTTAGGACCAAAATAATCAAAAGTCTTTTTCAATCAATAAATATGAGCCATTTTCTCAAATTCCAAGTCTGAATGCAGTCAATGCTGAAGTCTGGTTTGAATCACCAGTGCTTGTTTTCAAGTTGAGTCACAGTCCAGGACGTGATACTGAAACACTGGAGATTGGATTTTTTGAGACATTTTGATAAATCTTTTTTTCAATGTATTTAATGTCACAAAGTAGTTTTACTGTCAGCTAAATTCTGACGAGAGAGAAACACAACTTTAGACGTCACCAGCTTCAATGAAGTGACAGCCTGCAGGTCACAAAGCTTTTTATTATTGTCTCTATGATTTAAAACCAACAGTTAGGCTGAACCCACCGAATCAACTGCTGCTGAATGTTTCCTTCTTGTGATTGAGCTTTAAGAGACTTTGTCACAATGCTCTGCCATTATATGTTTGATCTTTTATCGCCCTCTGTTGGCCTTTGTAAAAATGCATTTCGTCAGGTTTTATTTTTCTTCTGGCCTCTTTTATCAGTGGGTAAATCTCACACAGTAATACACAGCAGTCTATTTGACCTTTTGGTTGCATCACTGCTTAAAGCCCCAACATGATCTTTTCTGCAGGTCGTCTAAACATACTCATTCTGCAGCAGAGTTACTCTGACCCACCCCTCCCTATACGCATAACACTCTCTGTGAGTGGTGCCTCATCATTTATGGTGTGCTTCGGGTTTGCACAAGTTTTTTTTTCTTTTTTACCAGGTTGGTGTCTTTGGTAATTATTACTAGGATGAAATCATTGTTGTGTAAACATGGCCTATTATCACTATTTTGTTTTAAGTGTGTGTGCAGAAAATGAAAATCCTCAGAGCGTAGATATTTAAAATGTCTCTTTCTCCAAAGCAACACAAGATCCAGTCCATCGGTTTCCTTCACTCAGTCCGATCAAACTGGAAACATAAGACCAGCGGTATCCTGTCCAGGCTGCACGACCACTGAGTCTTGCTGGATGAGATCAATACAGATCTCACGTGTGGAAACACTAACCAACATGATCTCCATTAATTCAGTTACTAATTTTGTCATTCTGATGTGTTTTTAATAGTTTAAAATCTCCTCTCAGGATGCTGCTGTGAACATCAGTATCAGAGCTACAGTACAGAGAACATGAATGATGATGAAGCTGAACTAAACTTGTGTCCTCTGACACACAAATACTCAAACACACACTGTGAGGAAACACAGAGGCCACCTAATCAACATACTCATGACAGAAGATCAGCTTATACCAAAGAGTCATTCAATGATTCAAAACTAGGATGAATTGTAAAGATGTTTCCCTTCATTAAAACTTCAGTTTTGTCACACATCATTTCAATAGGTGTTAAAATCGCTCTTTTAACAATTAAGGAGAGACAGACACATTCAGTCAACCAATCAATCATTATGTGAATAGCATCAATTCATTACAATTGTTATCTCAAGACGCTTTCCAAAAGAGCATATGGGATGATATGCAGGAAGGATTTCTCCTTTGTATTCCTCGTGTTCCTGTTGTCCACACTTCCTTGCCGCTGAGGTGGAGGTCGGAGCAGACTGAGCATGAATGTGGACGGCGGTGGTTGTAGGGTCGACACAGTCGGATGGTGGAGGCTGGGCGTCAGGCTGTGGTTGTGGGGACGACACATGCCCTTAGTTAAAAGTTACAAGGACAAGCTGCTTCAAACAACAAGATTCACGTTAACAGTCAGATCCACTAAATATGAGATTTTATCAGTTTTCTTTAACAACATGTGGCAGAATACCAGAGATGCACAAGAACTGAAACTTTAATTTTTTTACATCCAACTGAAGTTTATTCTATAAATGAAACATAGAGAGTGTACTTTTTGTTAAGTTTTTGTACAGCGTTACTTCCTCCTGTGTCACTGTGGGTCTCTGGCACAATAATAAACAGCAGAATCTTCAGTCTTCAGACTGTTCATCTGCAGATACACCTGCTGTCTGCTGTTGTCTCTGGAGATGGTGAACCGGCTTTAACTGACTGAGAGTAGAATTTTCTGTCATTATCATTCTCAACCCAGGCGATCCACTCCAGTCCTTTTCCTGCAGCCTGTCTGACCCAGTTCATAGTAGCTGCTGAATGTGAATCCAGAGGCTGAACAGGTCAGTCTGTGGGATTCTCCAGGCCTTTTAACCACTGCTTCAGATTCTGTCAGAGTCTGACCATCAACACCTGTAAAGACATTTAAAAAGTCAATTGAACATAGTTGGCAAACAACAAGAGAAAACTAAGACTTTGATGATCATCACCTGCCCAGCAGACAGTAAAAAGCAGCAGTCCTGTCCTATAGTCCATCATGTTCAACTGTGTGTCCACTGTTCTCTGTCGTCCTCTCTGCACTCACATAAGTAGAGGAGGAACACATCAGAGTTTTGCATTGACTCCTCCTCAGTGAGATAAGAAAATAATTGAATTTGGATATCACCTCTTTACTTATGGACTTAAATTTTCAACACAACTGGCCTTTTCATTTGCTAATATTTTCTTTTTTCGGTATATCAATTCAGGCAGCCAATCAGTAAGAACACAAAGCAGAATAACACACAGCTCCACATTTTGACAGTTATTGAACATACAGTAACATCTGTGATCACATGTACCAAAAATATTCACATCTAACAGGAAGTTAATCCCCATCATGTTCTTTGATGATGTCTTCTATTCAAAACATGAGGATTTTGTCACATGGGCTCAGGGTATCAGAGAACAAAAGAGCAACAGAAAGGATGTTAATCTTCAGAAGTTTTATTTATTCTATTTAATACAATTATTTAAACCAACCTACTGTCTTTCTGATATTAACTGTTTACTGTCAGCAAATCCAACATACCACTGGGTAATATTCTGTTTATTCAAATGTTAAACACTAGTTTGTAAAAAAAACAGATTAAAAGTTTTCAGTGTTTACAGACTGTTCATCGAAATATTAACAGAGCTGCAGTCGGTGCTCATGATTAACACCAAGTCACACTTCAGTTTCAAAGAATCACTCAATCAAGCAACTTATGTTGAAGAAGGGAAAGTTTCAACTACAGATTTAATTGTATTGAGCAGCAAGAGTGTTTAGCTTTAGTCAATCTGATAGTAATGTTGGTGTACTATCTTCATATCATGTGGAATATTTTAAATCTTTATATGTTTCGACCACATGTTGATCTCTACTGTATGCTTGGAGTTCAA